ATAAAAGTGAATATTTCAACCATGTACTACGCCACGAAGTTTAGGTTTAGGGGAGAACGAGATTACCGCACGGAAGAAGATCAAGAAGGTAGAAGCCGACGAGAAGATAGAGAAGACGCGTGGGCCCATTTCTTGGGCTGGTCCCTTAAGACAGTTGGTCCGCCATTGTTCATTATTCAAAATTTATTTTTATTTTGTATTAAACTGATTGTTCAATCGAATTTGTGATTAGTTTGTGTGTCAAGGAGCATTCACAGGTCAGTTGATTAATTATTATTTTGTTTTTGAGAGTTCAATTTATAGAAGTATTATTTTTTTCATTTTTTTTTTCTGTTGGTTTGTTTATAACATTTTTCATAACATGTGCATTGCTGCATTGTTCATGTATTTAACAAAAATCGTTTCATGCTGTAAACAACACAGATGAAGAGTAAATTAAATCCTAAGAAATTATGTGCTGTCTTTTTGTGCTGAGATTTTGATTTTGTGTATTCAGAGCGTGCATTAGGGCCTTGTTGAATTTACTAACATTTTCCTACCCTGACGAGCGAATATCCTACCAAACAAAGGAAAGAGATATTTCAACTATAGCTGTGAGTCTACGTAACCAGGGACCTCAGTACCTGCCGCAGATGGGCTAACTAACAAAAACTCTTCAGTATTGATTACAGGTAGTGTTGACTGAATGTAGTGTGTGTAATTGAAATTGAACAGGGGCGGTATCTAATTTGAACTTTTATTGACTTAAATTATTGAATTAATGTCTCACAATTATTATTAAAATGACACAGTATGTTTCGATTTTTGAGGAATGTTAGATCGAGGGTTTCTCTGCCGTGCTCTTTCCTCTCGTTAGTTCCAGGATGAGAACGGTACGATTTACTTTAATAATAAAGTAGACGTTCCATAAATTTTTCGTTTCTTTCACATATCACAGCTTCCCTTAAATTTCCCAACTAATTGCTATGTCGGGCGCTTGTCCAGTAAGTAAAATTGAGTAAGTTTCCACAATGTAGGTCCTATTTGTTTTTCATTTCGCTTTTCAGAAGATTTGTTGTTTAAAAGGTAATAAAAATTCACACCGTTCAATCTTACTGAACGAACCCGTGTATGTTATACTACATTATATATTAATTGTAGATTTGATTTGTCCCTTATATTACAGAAAATATTTAGTATGTCATTAAACATAGGAGTATTTCCAGTAAAATGGAAAGAAACTTATGTCATCCCGATATTCAAATCTGGAATTAGAAAAAGTATAGAAAAGCAAAATAGCAAAGATTTCTATTTTCCCCAAAATCTTCGAATAGATTGTGAGGTCTAAGTTTTTTTACTCACTAAATAATTTACTGAACAGCATGGATTCGTTCCAGGTAAATCTACCACCTTGTCTCTTGGAATTTGAAGAACTACTGTTGGAAGCCTTGGAAGAACGATGTCAGGTCGATGTTATTTACACGGATTTCTCGAAGGCGTTCGACAGAGTGAATCACTTCAGTCTTACTGTTAAAAATTTCAAATATGGAATTACAAGGGTCACTGTTATTATGGTTAGGGAGTTTCCGAATTGTAGTAACATCAGGTGTTTCACAAGGTGGACACCTATCACCAGTATTGTTTAACTTTTTTGTGGATAGTAAGTTCTTATTGTATGCAAATGACTTGAAGGTATGTGAAACTATTTCTAATATCGATGACTGTTATCTGCTTCAGAAGGATCTTAACAGGTTATACATAATGGTGTAATGTAAATGGTCTTTCATTGAATATTATTAAATGTAAAACAATGAGGTATTATAGAAATAAAAATCCGATAATATTTAACTATAAGTTAGATTTAGAAAATGTAACTTTAACAAAGGATCTTGGTATAATTTTCGACCCTACGTTGTGCTTTGAAGAACATATTGAATTTGTAACTAATGAGTCTAAAACTTAGATTTATTGCATACAAGCTAGGTATCCCATCAGATGAAATAATAATATTAAAATAATAGAATTATGCAGACATCTCAACTTTGTTACAGTTGCCGTCTTTAGAAAGTAGGAGAATTTATATAAGATTTAAGAGTTTTGTATAAAATTATTATTGGTCAAATGAAAACACCAGATTTGCTTGGTAGAATTAATTTCTTTGTTCTCTGAGATTCACAAGGTCCCAAGATCTATTTCATATAGAATTATGCCATGCATAGGACAAATTAAAGAATGTGTAGAGGCGCAAATACACTCTGTGATCTAAACAGCAATTTTGATTTTTTTGTTACTAGTTCATTAACTTTTGAGTATAGGTTAAGGAAACAAATGCTCATGTACTAGTCTTTAAGTATCTCTGTGAATGTCCACTCCGTGAATATACATTTATTTATTTATTTATTTATTTATTTTATTTATTTTTGGGTAATTCGTCTACAAAATCTGCAGAACGAACTGCTACCTTAATACATCATCAATATGATTAAAAAAGAATTGAACAGCGATTACAAGACGGTTTTGAAACCATAAGTGTTTCTCCAACTTGTACACGGTGTTTGTATTATATCGATTTAAAGCCCCAAATTTCAAACTTTTTCTATAAATGCTATACTCTTGCCTTCAATATCCAAATTCTTGAAAACTGTTTCGATATTCTCAAAGGTCCACTTATAACCGGCTTTCGAGTCAACAAAATATATGTCACCTTTACCGAACAAACTTTGTAGGAAGCAGGGCTGCTTTGCTCTTTAATTAGTTTCTAAGCGGTTTCAGGCATATTGGTTCACAATAGATAGAAAGCTCGCCAGTGATGAAACCAACGTTTTCATTAGCGATTATGATTACCTACTTCAATAATAATAATAGGATACCAACTTGAGTATAGCTATTATATGCAGAGGATACTACACAGGGGAGAAAAGGGCAATTAGAGCACAATAAAAGGGAATATTATCAGATTTTACATTGGAAGTTTTACATTATTGATAAAAACATTTCTCCGATAGTTGGTCATATCGAGGTTAACTAAAATTTGAAATCACCCATTGAGATCTAAAAAAAAAAATTAGCTAATAATTATAACGAGAATTTAATTGACTGTTAGTTAGTTAAATATCAAAGAGAGTTCAGGATTAAATATACAAATTATACAAAATCAACATTTGCTTTTTGCAGGAAGCAGAATTATAATATAAATTCCGAACATTTAAAACTAATTAAATACAAAAAATATTGACATTATTCTTTCCATATTCCCAATTTACTCAAGATAATTTGGCAATGCAAGTCTTGGAATCAGATGCCTAGCCTAGATTCGTACCTATTAGATTTATAGATATTTTTCCATTCCAAAAATTACTAGCTTTGATTTCAATTTTATCCCTATATCTAAATTCTTTTCAAACATATAAGCTTATGTGAATTTGCAGCTGTTGAAACCGCCAAAAACTCAACGTTACAGTGTCGCGCCGTGATAAATCTTCAAAGGGCCGCCGCAAAAATCTACACGCATTCTTATCGTTCCATTTCCTTCTTTGCACTCTACAAGTCAGAGAACAGATGAGTTATGCTATATTCGGGACTTTTGAAATATGGGCCAACTTTTAATAAAAAACCCCTACAATACGAGCTTTTCGCGGATTGCTCGCATGGTTTTGTTGTGCATTTTTTGCGGTATTTCTTTTTTTTATTTCTCATTCGTATTTGTGTGCGTGAACACAACAAATAAATACGGAAGTAATGATTTGTTGCCGGGGACCCGAATGGGAAATACATTAAAATGCAATTTGCCGGGGCATACAAAATGCGCTTGGTACGACAATCATGGAATAATTATTTCTTGGCGATGGAGAAACGCGTTTTGGTTTCTCGAACATCAAAAAAATGGCTTTGGATAAATCAGATTTTTTTTTTTACAAGCACGGTTATTTACTCGGATATTTATAAATTTCTTTACCCAATATAAATGTTGACTAAGCTTCTCAAACCTTCCAGTCACGTAAGCTTGTGAAGAGCAAGCCTGGATACTTTTTTTTTACCAAATCAATGGTACGGTAAATATTATCCTTGAGAAATCCGGAGCTGCCGGACGGCGGACGGTGCCGTAAAGATATAGAGTGAATACGGCCATGGCTGTCAATGTAACAATATTTGACGTGTCGTTAACGGTACGGTGACGTGATGGTGCCGATACGTATAGTATGAATCGCGCCTTAACCTGGATAAAGGGGACACTATGCGGAAATGAATGGCTGATCCAGGACATACCAGGATTGATGGAGCGATGTAGACAGAATGAGATTTAAAAAGTTGACGCTTATTGACCCTTTCAAAGAAAAATTCGCAGCAGAAACAATGCACGTACACTGAGAACTTGAATCGCATTGCTGGCAGCTTTCATCTGCTGAAAGTTAAGACAATAGCTAGTCAGAGAACATTGATAAGTAGTGGACGAAAAAGATGAGTCAGAAGTCATACTGAAACCGGAAATTCTTGAAAACATCTTGAACTCTAAAGACGACAGACCACAGACCTTCAAAATATTTGAGGTGTATGTTCACCACAGTAAAACTGACCATCACAAAAATACTCTGCCGATACACCTATGGGTATGTCAAGAGTGGAGAACTTTCGAGTCCGGACAATAAACTTTGCAACAGACCATGCAAAATGAAAGATATTTCAAGGCGTATGCGCCAATCATGTGAAGATAAACATTAAATTGAACACATTCAGGGCCAGTAATTGAACGCAATGTACTCACAATAATACGTGAGATAAATCATTAAACATTATGTGAGAACAATAATACAACATGAAATTGCAGAATTCTCTTTTGCATTGAACGAAACTATAGATATTTTTCGAATATTGAGCAGTTATCCCTTAGTGTGAGATGCGTCAATTTTGACCAAGAAAACAAAAACTTATCCTACAAAGTGCAGTTTGCAGCTGCCGATAGTACAAGTGGTACGAATTTAGAGGCAGTTATGTTAGAAAGTTTACAAGTAAATTGTACTTACTTCGTTGGAAAAAGGTCTGATGGGGGTGCTGCGATAAGTGGCCGTTTTAAAGGCGAACAGGCTATAACTGAAGGATTATATCCAGCAGCAGTGTAGTGCCCATTCGTTAAACCTCGACCATCCCTGTAAGGTTCAGAATATTAGAAATTGCATCGGAACCATAAAATAATATAAAAATCTCAGCTACTGAGGTACTAGGAATAGAATAAAAGAACATGTTCCAATAATGCTAAATGGACTAAGTTGACATCTATGTGTGAAACTCGATATGTGGACTATTTAAAATGGTTCTGATGTCATGATAGATGATAGCGATTTGAGAAGAATATTTTTGTATAACATTGATGATTTCATAGATCAATTATCTGAAAGATTTGCAAACCCTAAAAAGTTAGTTTTGTTACTATTTTTGTATTGCCAACTATACACACATTGATGGTAGAAGGCTCTTCTGCATACGAGCAGTTCTTGGATCTAGATACTTTCTCTCGAAAATTACAATTACAAAAACAAAGATCGATTGCGTGACGTCAAATGGACAGAATGAAAAATGCTGATACATTACGAGTAGGTAATCGATGTATTTCTTAATCTAAGTTGAATCCAATTTCATGAAGGAAAAAGGTTGTAACAACCAAATTTTAGTAATCAGAGCGATGTTATTTTCAAGATTGAAGAAAGAGACTATCCTTGATTTGAAAACTCCGTCAATGGACGGGAATTCAAACTGCAATAAATAGAAATATATGATGAGAGAACAGATGGCGCATACGCAGAAATTTGCACTACACTTTGAGAAGAAGAACAATTTTCTCCATCGCAGTGGAACATTTATAATATTGATAAGATGTATGGCGAAGTCGGCAATGTTATCGAGCAAAAATTGAAATGTTGCTAAGATTAGGTAATGCTGTGTTGATGCTTCGCCAGTAATTACTGATGTTCCAATAATCTCGACTGTTAATAAAAGCGGACAACTAAAACTTGAATGAGCTTTTTTTTGTGTTGCTTGTGACAGAACTATAGGTGTGACATTCAATTATTTTGATCAAATAAATAACGACGTGAATAGAGTATGCTTTATCTTTGAACTTTACTGCAAACAAAACAAAACTTCTTCATATGGATACAAATAACACGATGTATATGAAGATGCATGAACGCCGATATAAACCTAAACGAGAACATACTAATGTTATTGAGAAACTCTTAGCTAGCACGCATATTGATTCTCAACTACCTCTTCTATATCATGTGAAGCAAACTTAATTCGGTATATTATGCAATATTGTAACTACAAAATACAGTCATCCACAGCCAACTTAGTTCCGATATCAAATTACATGAACACCGAATTTTTCAAATAGCTTCAAAAGGAGACAACTTGATTTTTAAATAATGTACCTAGAATTTTAAATCTGTACGTACAAACTAAGACTTAAATTAAACAACCGAACATTCATATCACAATCGATTTTACAACTTAGATAAACATGTTGAAAATAATCCGATGGTCGACAAATTGGATTGTATTATTGAGCAGAATGCAACTTTGAAATGTCTCATATAAAAAAAAAATATATTCCTTGGAATAACTCGTACTGCAAAGCGAAGTATACTCTAATTCACAAATAGATCGAGGCTACGAGCCTTGAAATTCCATTAAATAATTGAGAAAGTTCTATAATGCCAAATGAAAAATATATACTTTTTACTTCTAAAAAACACAGATTGCGTATTATGGAGAAGGTATCGTTATGTTTGTTCAATAAATTGTGTTTGTGAACGAGATTGCCAACCTAAGAGATTAAATGCCGCATTGACAGTTTAAAATTCGCTACGGTAGAAGCTTCGACGCGATGGGGAAATGTAAACAATAGACTTAAGCCCTGTCGCTGTTTAGACTTTCATCATTCATACGTCTGAAACTGGGCAATATACTCTCAGATAATTGGCACGAACTGGCTTGCAACGACCAACTTGTGCATATAAAGCGGTAAATATGAATGAACATACATCTGAAATTCATGCAGGTAAAACTTTTGTCAAATCATAATTTACTTGATTTAAATTTTTTGATGAGATAAAGTGTGGATATTGAATTTTTATGTATTTCATATTATGTATAATTATTCCAAAAATAGATGACAGTCGAAAACATGGAGGTTGTGAAGAAAGCTAAGTAAGTTTAGTGCGGTATTAATAGTAAAATTCCCAGAAACTCACAACTATAAGTAGGTAATATTGAAAATAAAAATATAAATTATTATACTATAGTGATATATTTGTGGCCTCGAAAACTTATTGTATGAAAGATTGTGGGTATAGAACAACTAATAAAAATTTCTGACATATCGATTATGTGTATATATGCATAATTTTTTTCTTATCTTTAACACACAATCTTTTATACGAATACAGTTGAAAGAGAAAGTGGTAGCTCCTATAATGAATTGGATTCAATATATTTGAATATGCAGACTCTTCCAACAATAATGAGAATTTGAAAATGTATGTATCAACAGACTTTTAAAAGATTAAATAATCGACGTTCTTTCTGTCTAACCTGAAATTTCACGAAATAAACTCCAAACTTGGGATACAAAATGTCTACTTTTTTTTTTGTCCTTAATACCGACGAACCTTAAAAAGGTAATTTTAATAATTCTGTTCAATTCTTTGTAAAAGGGTAGGTATTCTTTGGTAGGTAATAATTTATCTACATTTAGTCTTGGACGGGAAATAAGGCAAAACAATCCGAATTCACAAACGACTCTTGCTTGTTCGAGCTTGGACTGCGAAAAGTTTTCTAAACCCGTAATTTTTTTCCGACCGAAGGCCCTGGCCAGCCCTGCGGGGACGGTGTTGGAGAATAATGGGCGGACTTTAGGGCTGTTTTCAGCTCCAGTAATTTGGATTGTGTGTTAAGGGACCGTTAAAATTAGTTTAGTAGAGTTGGTTTTGACCCTTCCTTTTATCGACGACTATAGAGAAACGGCAATGTGCTTAAATGCCAGAAAATTGGCCATAACGAGATCATGTTGTGTGTGTGTGTATTTGTGTGCGTTTGGAACGCAATCGCTTAATTTTGAAGTTTGAAATCAAATATCAATGCATACGTTATATTCAAGAAATGTGAATACAAAATAAATTAATAGAAAAATTTTAGCATCAGTAAATGAAAAAAAATTAATAGAACCTCAATCAAAATGCAAATCAAACATGAGTGTATGATTTAAACCGAGATTTATACTCACCAGTTGTTCCAACAAGGAAAAACAATATTAAGCCAAATTAGAGGCTTTTTCAAAAAGTAAGTATATTTTTTGAAATGTCACCCATTATTTAGTGACTGGACAAAGAGGATATTTTCTAATAACTACAGGCGTTAAACAGGGCTGAGTTATCGCACCCACTCTATTTTCTCTATTTATAGGATCCATACTTCAACTTGTCGAGGGTCACCTGCCGTCAGGAGTGAAAATCCTATACAGACTTGATGGCGACCTATTCAACCTAAACAGATTACGAGTCAAGACGAAAGTTTATCAATGCATTCAACCAGCCATACAGGAGAATCGGTCTAGAGGTCTGCAGATTCTGCACCAACCCGCACCGGGCACTAATTCCCAATTCCAATTCCCATCAATTGTCATTCTTTGTAGAACGTTTAACTACTAGCCCTCCGTCAGCAAATGCAACCAACATCGCGTAAATCGGACGACTTCTAGAGAGAAACTTCAATAATCACCCCATCAGCGCTGAGACCAACTTTCGCGTCTACAATGCAGTTGTAATACCAACACTCACATATGGCTGCGAAACATGGACCCCCTTCAGAAGACACATAAAAAGCTTAGAAAAATACCACCAGCGATGCCAGAAACACGTCTTACACGAAAAATTATCTACAGTCAACTGAAAGAGGGAGGGAAAACGAAATCAAGGAGGTCAACAAAAATGCTACAAAGATGTTCTTAAGGCGAATGTGGCTGGGAGACGACGGCAAATGTTAAGGCCCATTCTCAATCAATCTGGTAGCGAAGTGGCACTTCGGTACCCATGCTAAGACAATGCTTTTTAACGTTGGCATCCTCAATTCAATTCCCGGCTAGCATCCACCCCGACTCCGAAGTGCAAGCTTGAAAGCTGCAAGCTTTTTTGATGCGTGCCGACTTGTGTCATGCGCAGTACAATAAAAAATAATTTAGGTTATGTGACCGTACTACTCGCACAGCAAACTGAAAATTGACAGCATTGAGGATGGGTATCAATTTCCCAGCACGCTTGTGCCTAAGTGCCACTTCGCTACCAGATTGATTGAGGATGGGCCTTCAAGCCCTCATGGCGTCCAGTAGTCCACGACGAACCACAAACGTTCGAAGAACAGCGTCGCAGACACCAGACCAAAAAGAGGGACCGCAGGAAGTAGCGAGATAACAGAGGAATAGATAATGCTGCCAGAGCCTGGGTGTGTGTAATTATTAACATTTTTGTAATGTTAAATATTTAAATATGTTCTGTTGTACAGCTTTGTTTGGCACGTTGTTTCTGATTTTTACTTTTTTCTTGTCAGAAGACAGTTGCCATAACGCCAATGATATTGTTCTTTTTCATATTTTATATATTAGTTTTTCCTTTTTTCCACAATTAAAAACGACCCAAGTTTACATAAGGGGCATTATATTTCTATTTTATACTCTGTTCATAACAGGTTACGGTCTCATTCGCTCCTGCCTGGGAAGTGTAAGTCGTGTGCGTGTGGAATGAAAAAGCTATTGTGAAAAACTGAAAAGGTCTGTACTAGGGTGTGTCCCTGCAACGAGTACACAAAAACCGCGAAAACGTCGTTTATTGTGAGTTCCAGATGAGACAATACAATCACTGATAAAGTTGGCGTTTCCAGCGTCAATAAGTTTGATGGAACCAACTTTAGGCAATGGAAATTTCAGATGAAATGTGCCTTAAAGGCTAATAAAGGTATTTATGGGGTAATAGATGGGACTCTTCCCAGGCCTAACAGCTCCCAAACTGATGAACTTACAACATGGTGCAAGAAAGATGCTCAAGCTATGTTTGTATCAACAACAGCCATGAACGTTGATCAAATAACATTAATAGAA